GATTTTTTTTTTTTTTTTTTTTTTTTTTTTTTTTTTTTTTTTTTTTTTTTTTTTTTTTTTTTTTTTTTTTTGGTGTTCTAGCATTTTTTAATTCAAGAAAGAGGATTGGAATATTTGATTGAATGCAGTTCGAGCAGCTCTTTGGAACCTTCTCTCATGGTTAGGAAGAAATAGAAGGGTGTTTCTCAATACGGAGAGGAATGTGGACAACATATGGCAGTTTGATAGTTACAGTTCTTGATTCGATGATATAAAGGCACACACATCCGTTCCTCCTGAACATTTTTGGTAAACAAACGAGGACATTACTTTTTTTATTGCCAGTTCAAGGTAGTCAAAGATCAAAGCCAGTGAAGAGCAGGCCTTCCCTCTCTTTCTTCCCTTCCATTCAAGGAGAGAAGTTTCACAATCAGATTAGTTTGGTACTTTCTTTCTGAATTCACTCTGGATATGAAATACATAGAAGTCTATTAGTTTGTTGTGGATATTAATACTACATGAAATGTGAAGAAAATGGCAATAAATGATATTCATACAAATTGTATTCATTTAAAGTGAATCAGTATGTATTGTCATGCCTTTCTGAAGTGTTTATAGATGATAAAAATTCTTTTAGTATTAAATTGTACCGTCTGGCTACATTTTAGAGGGGTAAAACCTGTTCTTTAGTTGATATTCATACAAGGTAATATAGAGAAGCAATTATACGTGACGTGGAGGATTAAAATCTCTGACCTTTTGATTGGGAGTGCATGTTTTATGCCCGGTTGAGATATGCACATATTAGCTAATGTATATGTCAACTCGAGTATAACTCAATTGGTTAGAACATTACACATTTTTCATAAGATTGAAGGGTTCAAATAGGACGGAAAAAAATTACCGTCCACATTAGGAAGAAAAGAACTCCCTATGAATACATGAGTTTGAATGAATAATCTAAATTTAGTAGATCTAAACAAATCGTATGATCATAGCTTCAGATTTAATGAACTTTCTTCAAAAGCTTTAACCATCTGTCATTAAGTGATCCAATATGAAAGAGAAGAAATTAAATTCCATTTAGAGAGAGAACAATACGTTGGCAATTAAATGGACTGTTAAAAACATAAAAACAGCAACCGTTAAGCTCTTCTGGCCATTACAAAAGTGGCTGAAGTTGGTATAACTTTCATCAACAAAGTTCTTCAAAACAAAATAAAGAAGAAAAAACTCGATCAAATGGCCACTCTTATTGCTCCCAAGTACTTCTCTCCTGTTGAAGATGCTGAGAATATCAAGAACTCTTGTTTAGGTATCTCTAATCTCTTCATATTTCATATGGGTTTTGAAAAAAGCAACACTTCTTGAAAGAAAATTGGTCAAAAGTTCCTCTAAAAGCACTCGAATTTGTTTGAAAGGCTTGCCAAAAGTGTTCATTGATGGGTTAGAGATTTGTATATATCATGTTCATTGCAGGTTGGGGAACAGATGAGAAGGCCATAATCTCCATTTTAGGCCACAGAAATGCAACTCAAAGGAAGCTTATAAGGTTGGCTTATGAAGAAATCTATAATGAGGATCTCATTCATCAACTCAACTCTGAGCTTTCTGGAGATTTTGAGGTATGTTTGTCTATATATATATATATATATATGCTTTTGTTGTGCTAAAGATTTTGTAATGAATTTTGATGGATGAGTTTGAATATGTTATGGTACGGTAGAGCGCTATATCTCAATGGACGCTTGATCCTGCTGATCGAGATGCTGTTTTGGCAAACAATGCATTGAAAGCATCGACGCCTGATTATCGTGTTATCGTCGAAATAGCATGTGTTCAATCTGCAGAAGATCTCTTGGCGGTAAAAGGAGCTTATCGGTTTCGATTCAAACATTCCCTTGAGGAAGATGTTGCCTCTTCCACAACTGGGGATATCAGGAAAGTATGTCTTTAATTAAGCAAGTCGAGTTCTAAGTTGTGTAATAGTTTCCTACCAAAAGTAGCTTATGAGATTACTAAGTCGGGTTGTAACGGCCCAGGCTACTGCTAGCCGATATTGTTTCCACACCCTTATAAAGGGTGTTTTGTTCTCCTCTCCAACCGATCCGGGAAAGGTTTTCACACCCTTATAAAGACTGTTTCGTTCTCCTCTCCAACTGATGTGAGATATCAGAATCCACCTTCCCTTCAGGGCTTAGCATCCTCACTAGCACTCATTCCTTTCTCCAATCAATGTGGGACCCTCACCAAATCCACCCCCCTTATGGGCCCAGCATCCTTACTAGCACACCGCCTCGTGTCTACCCCCTTCAGGGAACAGCCTCCTTGATGGCACATCGACCAATGTCTAACTCTGATACCATTTGTAATAGTCCAAGCCCACTGCTAGAAGATGTTCTCTTTGGACTTTCCCTTTCAGGCTTCCCCTCAAGGGTTTTAAAATACATCTGCTAGGGAAAGGTTTCTACACCCTTATAAAAGGTGTTTCATTCTCCTCCCCAACCGATGTGGGATCTCACAATGAGCTAAATTTTAAACGAACAAAAGGGTAGCTAGAAGAATCCTTGACGATCAACCTTTAAGACAAAAAAATTTTTGATTGCAGCTTCTTGTGGCAATAGTGAGTGCCTACAGATATGAAGGCGATGAGATTGATGAAAGCACTGCCATTTTAGAAGCAAACATTCTTCATGATGCAGTAAAAGGCAAAGCTTTCAACCATGAAGAGATTATCAGAGTCTTTAGCACAAGAAGTAAGCCACAGCTCATTGCAACTCTCAATCGCTATAGAGATATCCATGCCACATCCATTACCAAGGTAAGAACAATATTACACTAAAATGGGTGAAATTCTATGTTTCATGATATGATTCTCACTATAATCCATCTGGGTTTTGATATTAAACGTCAGGGTTTGATGGGAGACTCAGCTGATGAGTATCTTGCTGCATTAAGAACTGTTATCAGATGCATTAGAGATCCAAAAAAGTACTATGCAAAGGTACATATTATCATCAATCAAGTAACCAGCTTTAGTTCATTTGAAGCTGTAACGGCCCAAGCCCACTGCTTGGAGAGGGGAACGAAACATTTCCTGTAAGGGTGTGGAAACCTCTCCCTAATGAACACGTTTTAAAACCTTGAGGGGAAGCCAAAGAGGACAATATCGGCTAGCGGTGGGCTTGAGTTGTTATAAATGGTAATAGAGCTAGGCACCGAACAGTGCGTTAGCGAGGATGCTGGACCCCAAAGGGGGTGGATTATAAGATCCCACATTGGTTGGAGAAGGGAATGAAGCATTCGTTACGATGGTGGAAAGTGAACAATATCTGCTAGTGATAGATTTGAGTTGTTAAGCGAACAATATTTGCTAATGATGGATTTGGGTTGTTATAGAAGTTGATCGTAATGATGTCGATAATGTAAGCTCATCTTTCTTACATTGATACCTTGATTTGATGAAAATAAAACTCGACCTACCATTTTTAGGTTCTGCGGAATGCGATGAACGCAGTTGGGATCGACCGAGATGCTCTTAGCAGAGTGATTGTGACAAGAGCTGAGAAAGATTTGAAGGAAATTATGGAACTGTATTTGAAGAGAAACAATATATCTCTTGAGGAAGCTGTGAACAGAGACATAGGAGGAGACTACAAAGCATTTATTCTAGCACTTTTGGGCAGTGATGAACCTATGGACCTTAAGGATTAAGCTCTAAAATAGTTTCATTCATTTTTTTTTTTTTTCTCTACTTTTAGAATAAGTTTGATCAAACATAGGACACTTTGGATGAATTATATGGTTATAATGGAAATTATTAATAAAAATTAAGTAGTACCGACTTCCAAGTCTTTTTATTTTTTTAGCTCAACACTATTTAGGGTCGAAGAATTTAAACTTCTAACATCTTAGTCAACAATACATGTATACATCTTTATGGTGTAGGAATGGGGTGTTCTCATCCTTGCGTTCTATTTCAATCTCTTTCCCTATGAAATTATCCCTTTATTCTTGCTGGAATAGGGACGAAGATTTCCCGATCCATCCTTATATATACACATTCCAAAAATATTTTAATTGATAATTTTATAATTTTTATTAAAAAAATGAAAAACATCCTAATAAATATAATATTATTTCATATGCAAATATAATATTCATTGTAATTTCTAAAAGCTGAAATTTTAATATCATAACATCTCCCTTCCCTTTTTCTCATCAAAGGCTAATTCGCTCTATAAAGATTTCTAATATCTCTAAGCTAAACTTCCTACCGAAGACAAGAAGGGTCTTATGGACTCGAAGGCATCTTTGTTCTTGTATGAAAACAAAAATGAGGACCTAATTGCAAGAGCGAAGCTCATTCAATCATAACGGTTAAATTGAAATGATGTTATGATATAACGCCTAAACTAAGTTGATAGCGAAGATGAAGAGCCAACGCATGCCAAGGTTTGACAGGATAAACATTGATTGAACCCATCAGAGTTCTTTTGAACAATACTCTTCCCAATGGAAGTTTGGATCCCTTAATTTATGCACTTAAAAGAATTTCCTATGTACAGAAGAATTGAATTTCTGTGCCAAATGTATATCCCATACGAAGCAGAGAAGACAGCAAAGCACAAAATACGAAGCTACACAAGGAACAATTTCTATGTTGGTCCTTCACCTTTTGGAAACTCTAGCTTCCTGTGTCTGAAACACAAATGTGTCTTCTGTAAGGACCCCTGTCATGTGGAACAAGCTTCCTATGGATATCTCTATGACGTTTCAAACTAAGCAACAAAACTTCAACGCCCGTTCGGGCCACGACAGCCAGCTGACTGGTTTTTGATCATTTACTGGCACTCCATAATGTTGCTTTAAGGAGACATGCGTATCAGATGGAAGAAGAACTAGTATGATTCTTGTATTCTCAAGCATATTTCGTCCGAAGGCACGTCGTCATGATCACTATACTTCACTAGTTCGCCATTTCCGCTGCAAAGTCGTGTCGATAACGAAGGAGAACCCGGGGAATGATTGCCTGCATATGTATTTGTAACACCAAGATTTTGCATCAACAGATTTAAATATCATTTTATGATGCAACATTTGTTCTTCACACACCTCTAAAGGATGAGCTTCTTTCAAAATCTTTGGTTAGTTGCAGTAAGATGGTACCAGACAGCACAACAACAAAGCCACATATTTCAGATATGATTGTTCCTCCACTTTGGCCATCCCAATCCTGAAGTAAAAGATGTATTTTTCTAAGTACTAATATATTAAGCTTATGTCTGAATGACTCGAGATAAGAGAAAATGAAATGAAGCGAAGATATTGTCCCAACTCCTAGCAGACTTCCTCATCAATCAGCTCAGATAACAACATGAATCCAAGTTCAGAAGAATCTAAGAACTTTAGAAATAGTTTCGTTTCGTTTCGTTTGATATCACATAAAATTTTTATAATTGTAGTGACAATCTCGATGCATGCTTCAGCTATTCTTACACCATCTTACACACACAACTAGATTTTTCATACCTTGAACATTATGACACTTGCAAGGATTGTCAGTGTTGTAAACATAACGTAGTATATCGGTGAGACGATTGCAGTGTTGAATGTGTCGAGTGCCTGAAAAACACAAATAAGAGGCGTTTATTGATGTTTCGTCGATCGATTGTAAACCAACTTAGAGTAATTAACTCAATGAAGCAACAAAAAGTTGGAGGAGCATTATATCAACGGCTAGAGTAGAGTAATGCAAGGAGAACAAAAGCAAGGAGGACAGAGTTCACACAGGTGAACAATGTGTAAAACAAATAAGAACACAAGATTTCATATACTTGAATTCTCATCAAGGATACGGTCTCTCTAGCACCACTTCCAACCAGCCATATTCCCAGCACGTAAGAAAAAAAACTAATATATTGATATCAACCATAATTGCAAACTGTCCATTCTTGATGAGCTTCAGATGAGAATATATAGAATTTTATGTGCAAAGAATGAGCTTTTTTTGTCAGTTTCTACTCGCTTCTGATCCCATAAAACTACCCTCTAAGCCTACAACATCTGGGGTTGGAAAATATTGACATTTGAGCGTGAACTGAAGGGATTGGAAGTGGCCATAGGTCTCCTCCACTAGCTTTGCTGTTGTTATTAACAAGAGTTCATAAGTAGATTATGACTTCCAGAGGCATTCATCAAAGGGTTCCCTTGTCTATTATTCATTGCTAACTGATTTCTTTTGGTTGCTTTCTTATGCATACGCTCTATTTTTGCTGGTTATAAAGTTGGTAGAGATGGAATTCATATCTACAATCTACAATTTTCCCACGTGATACTCCTATTTCCTTGGTGGGAGACCTATCTCCTATAATGTGAGATCCCACATCGGTTGGAGAGGGAAACGAAACATTATTTATAAGGGTGTGGAAACCTCTCCCTAACAGACATGTTTTAAAACCTTGAGGGGAAGCCCAGAAGAGAAAGTCCAAAGAGGACAATATATGCTAGCAGTGAGCTTGGGATGTTACAAATGGTGTCAGAGCCAGACACTAGGCAATGTGCCAACGAGGAGACTAAGCCCCGAAGGGGGTAGACACAAGGCGGAGTGCCAGCAAGGATGCTGGACCCCGAAGGGGGTTGGATTGGGGAGTCCCACATCAATTGGAGAAGAGAACTAGTGTCAGCGAAGACATTGGGCCCTGAAGGGGAGGTGGATTATGAGATCCCACATCATTCTTTATAAGGGTGTGGAAACCTCTCCCTAGAAGAAGGGTTTTAAAAACCTTAAGGGGAAGTCCAAAAGGGAAAGCCCAAAGATAACAATATCTACTAGCGATAGGCTCGGGTTGTTCCACACCTTCTTCATTTTGTGAGATAGAAAACTCAAACATGACTTTCAAAGTTAAGCAACCACATGCCAGTCTAAGAACAATAAAAGAGTAGTAGAATTGGCAACCTTGTTGAGATAATTCATTTGAATAATGACGCAAGTTACAACCACCAACATGAAAAACCACGTCTCAGGGTAGATTAATTGGTTCTTCCCCTCAAAGGTCAATTTCAATGATGTCCCAAGGGCTTTAACACTCATCACCTGCAAATATTCAGGATGGAAGTCAATCACACACAAAATCAATTAACAAATGAGAATACAAACCTTTTATTCTTTCAACATAGTTTTGAAAAATCATGTGTAGGAAAGCTTGTAAAACAAATCGTTTTTTCATTAAATATCATTGTTTCATGAACTAAGTAGCTAGTTGTAATAAGACAATTTAAATTAGACCATTGATTTTCGACGCCAACATACGCATAGCTCCATGGTTAAGGCATCTACTCCTTCCTTAAAGTTAGAAGTTCAAAGTCTAACCCCCGCACTTGTACTAAAAAAACGACCATTGTGCAATGCGTTTTGCACATAAGATGCAATAAGTTGTTTGCAAGATCAGTTGCAATTCATGCCACGCTATCAAACGTTTAAACACGGTAGTTTGGAACAATGAAATGCATCATAATTCAACTAAACTCGACGCTCTGGTGAGACGAGACTTACCGAGAGGGAACCCATGAGCGAACAAATTCCAGTAAACACCAACACGTTGGTATGGCCACATCGCGGGGAAAAATAGATGGCAAGAATAAAAACCAATACAATCACAGAGCCCATATATAGCAAGAAGGCTGAAAAACAAAATAGTATTAATCAGCAATGAAGCTCACATACGACAAGGTAACGAACAAAACGAAACGAGTCACGAGCTAGACGTTTAACCTGGCTGTGTTGCCATATTCCATATTTCCTGGACAGAAGTAATAGGACGCTCACTTGGAGCATGAACAACTATAATGACTGAGCCTGCTATACACATCACACACCCCAAAATTCCAAGCTTGTGCAACCTCTCCTTCAAGATAAAATGGGCCAACACGGCACTAGAAAATCCCATTCAGAGGATATCAGAGAAAACTCTGATAGCTAACATGGAGATAACTTTTAAACATAATTGAGAAAGAGAAAGCACAGCAGACACGAAATACCTGACGATTATGCTTAACGCACCGAGAGGCGTCACGAGAACTGCCGGGGCAAATGCGTAAGCAATGAAGTTGGCAGCCTCACCAACAATCACTGGATTACAAACAATATGAACATTGATCAAATATGGAATTCAAAAGGGGCAAATGAATCATGTCCAGCAGATTACTAGAACTTTGAAGCAGGAATCAACCAAATTTAAGTTCATCCATGAACACGGAGCACAATTTCTACATAGTCAAGAATCAAGATAAGAAAACATGTAAAAATCCATCATTATATGAACAACTTCAAAGCAAAACAATCGAAGCCCCTTGAGAAGGAGAAAGAATATCTTACTTATAATCATGCCTATCCACCATAGAGGCTCCAAGAGGTAAGTATAGCCACCAACACCTGCAAAACGAAGAACAAAAACAAGGCCATCTGAATCAAAACAAGCCCCAGAAGAATCAACAAAGAAAAAGCCTAAATCAAGTGCATTCATAATGAAAATCTTCACCAGCTCTGACCCCAGATGCTGCTGCTGCTCTTCTAAGCCCCTTTTTCTTGATAATAAAGCTTGCCCCTATGAACCCACTTGAGAGCAAAGCCAAAATAACGCCATTCAGATTGTCTTCACCAAAACCCATCACGAGAATTCGATCCTTGTTGTTCTTGTTCTTGTTCTTCGTTTCATCATCCAATTAATCACCCATTAGAACCGTATCTACGACCCAGAATAATACCATCATCATCATCTTCTTCTTCTTCTTCTTCTTCTTTCTCCAATATAATCCGTTTTCCTTTTGGTTTTTGCTGCGAAATACAGTAGTCACATTGACGATGCTCATAATCAATCATCAGTACAGATAATTGCGTTTTGTCGCGTTGAGGATGGAAATTGCCCAATGGGATCCACGCCACGCCGCACGGGATTGACGGACAAGAAAAACTAGTGAATATTTTCTATTAAAATGTATTGGGTAAGTAAGTAAGGGAAGTGATTATATAATATAATATAATCAAAGCCATACGATTAATTACCGTAAGGATCTTGACCTTCATCTTGAATATGAACAACTTTTGGTGGGGTTCTGAAATGAGAAGAATTCTTGGCCGACATCATCATCTATCAATTTTTGTGTGACCTAAACAAGCCAACTTTTTGTGTGCATTCATCGTTTGTGAGCATTGAACTGTTGACAGCGACGAGCCGTATGGAAGATGGAACAACTATTAGTGGCTTCAAATTCTTGTTCATTTTCATGAATGGAAAGTATAAGAAGATTGATTAACAAATTATGGCAAGTGGAATAAAAAATTTAAAAAAAAAAAAACAAACTTTTTGTAGAATGAAGAATCATAAGCCATCAAATAAACCCAACTTAAAATTTTCATAAAATTAAAAACTCTATCAATTACTATCGGTAAAAAATGATTTTCGTTGCGCTGATTGAGTATGTTTATAATTTTAGAGACTTGACAAAAAATGGAACTAGGAACGTTATCTTCCCACATAGGTAGGTAGATGAGTGATTCATTTAAATGTTGCTGAGAAGGACTTAGTTTATGATTATATCATAAACAAATTGTTTATTAGATTATCAGCGGTACTTAACGTACAAATATACTATATGGGTAAAATGAACTTTTGATCTAAGTTGTAATTAGAAAAGCTTATAATACATCAGTTTACTTGTAATGATTATATTCATGGACACAACTTATTTTACACTTAAAAAAAGAGTACAACTTTAGGTTTATAGGGAAGTAACTAAAAATTGATTGATTAAGAATCTAATTAATTAATTTTATATCACTTGAACTTAGCCTCTAAAGATGTGATATTAATACTAAAAGTTCATTCTGTTGATTTTCTTATAAAAAATATTTAAATATTAAATATAAAAGAGAAAAGTACATTTAATTGAATTATAACTCGGAGCTGCCATAAATAAAGATTGAATAAAAGAGCAGTCATTACATGTTGGTTTAATTGTTCAAAACATTTAAATAAAGATTGACTCGGTGGTTTATTATATAGAATAACAACGGGATAAATTGCAATCACATAATAACGGTCCTCATCTAAAAGCTATCCTTTAGTCTTCATTGTACTAAATTTGGAGATTTTTCAAGTAAATGAGTATAAATGTTTTCAATAATTATTTGGGAGTTCGAGGTTGGATGGTTTGTAAATTAGGCCTATGTGGTCTCTGTAAATAGAACCTTTGAATTAAATGTCGATCATCTCATTCTCAATTAAAGTTTTTCTCTATTCTTTTTCTTCTTATCTTTAACATCAAAGCAAAGAGTGGTGAAAGAAGTCAGGAGCGAGTTTTTTTTTAGAAAGTTTGAGACGGTGCGAAAAATGGTTATAATTACGTGTCTTGAATTTATTATGTTTGTTTGGTCTAAATATTGCTAGAATCCTCAAATGCTAATCAACTCGAAGAGGGTGAATTTTGTCTAAGGTACAAAATTATAAATATAGAGAAAGTTTTAGGCAATGGTCGAAGGCGAAATAACAATAGAAAAGCTACTCACTCAAACATTAAAAAGAACACAAAAATGAATTAAAATTTAAAAGAAAGTTAAAATGTGACTCAAATATTTTCTTTAATAGATGATCCTAGAACATTGTCCGAACTATACTCCAAGCAATACTCTTAACGAATGTGGGCTATGTTCGATTTCTCGATAGGTTGGTTATAATATATTATATATAAAAATAAATTATGTATATAATTAGTAGGTTCATGATGAGAAAATATTTGGAGCTACATGTGAAAAAGGCAAAAACCCTCTCTATTTCCTAACGCATCACCAAATGTCAGCAACATTTACAACAAATCGAATCCCTAATCTTTGAGCCAAACGAAAAAACAAAAGGTTAGATGCCCAAAACGAATCTAAACCAGAAACCTAGCAGATTAAATAGAAGGCTTACCGAAATTTACACCAATTCTCTACTCGACAGCCCAAAGAAGTGGGAACAAGAATTTGTGATTGATGAAGTTCTTGATAATCAGAAAGAATTTACCTCCAAGGTGTAGTTTCTTTTCAACTTCATCAATTTTCTCGCAGCTTCACCATATGCTCCAAGTTTCTCAGTTTCTTCTGCGTCGAATTCATCTCCCATTTTATCTAATCCATCTAAAGCCATACCTGCAGAACTAGGTCTGATCACGACGAGAGTCGCCGCCGTCATCACGGAGCCGGACGCTGGTAGGTCCAGCACCGGCACATGCCACATCTTCATGTGCAGATCTGGTATTACAGTCCTTTCTACTGGAGATTGATTCGAAGTGGAGGATTTCATCGAGTCTCTGAGTTCTTTGAGTTGCTTCTCCTCCATATAGAGTCTTCCTTGTTTTGTTGAATCGGTTATCACCACGCTCTGTAGCATCGGAAAATCGGCTACCATCTGTTTGACCAAATAATGTCTCATGGAAGCAGCGATTAGGGATGAAATCGTCCATACAATTCGTAGTTTAAGTTCTTCGTCTCCCAATTCCGTTTCCGAATCTGCTTCTACTACGCGTTCTTCTTCTGTTTCTTTGGCCTCTGAATCAGAATGAACAATCGATTTCCGCCGCAAAGACGACGCTCCAAGAACGACGCAACTCTTCAATTCAGCACCGAACTCGGCCTTCCACTTAAGCAAGGGACCACCGCCATGAATAGAGCCAATTTCATCGCCACAGCAAGGAAGTTCCATATGAACGAACTTAATTCCTCTAAATTCCTTCAACGCAACACTCGGCCAGTAGTACCAATCGCCAAATCCAGAACTTGGCGGCGAAGTACGAGTAATCACACGCCGAATAAAACGAAAAGGCGTAAACACAAACTTACGAACAAAAAACCTAATCAAGGAATTCGGCGGCGATCGACGACCGACTCTCGATTTCCGCTTCGAATCAAGTACAGGACGAGGAATCGCAAGAAAAACAGTGTCGGATTGCGAAATGAGAGAAGCGAATCGCTTGGAGACGGCAAGGCATCGAATAAGAGAACGAGCATCGATCAATTTGTTGAAGATGAGATGAAGAATCGCATCGGGAAGAAGATCAAAATAGTCTAAATCATCATCATCCTCATCATCATCTTCTTCTTCTTCTTCTACAACTAGTTGTTGCTGTTCTTGACCTCGATTTCGTATTTCAAATTGATTCTTGATCGGATCCATGGACACAATGATCTTGATTCCGGATCTTGATCGTGGCTGTTGTTGGTATGGATTTGAGGCAAAAACGAGTGAAGATTTCAGGCATTAATTCGACGGTTTGTAGAGAGAGAAAAAGAGACTCCGTGGTTTTTGAGTTGTTCGTTTGACCATAGATTTGTAAGAACAGAGAAAAGACGCATACACTTCATATTTTGCTGACTCTGCAAAAGGTGCGACCATATCCCTTCCCCCTTTTTTCTTTTTTAAATTAAAAAAATTAAATAGATAAGACTTTGTATTTATTTTATATTTTATATTTTATATTTTAATTAAAGTGTCGGTTAGAATATAATTCAAGTGGTTGATCCAAGCTCGAGTTCGTAACGATATATATTTTTCTAAAGGTTTTATTCTCTTTCGATAAAGCTTAATTTCATTATTTTATTTTATTTATTAATATAATATTAAATTTTAAATCTGATGTATTTTTATTTTTTTGTTTTTTCATTAAAATTGAATTTTTGAAATAAATTTCTCTTTCTAAAACTTATTTATTCAATTATAAATCGAGTAATTATATTCCAATTTCATTTATTGGGAAAAAAAAGCCAAAAATAAATAAATAATAATAATAATAATAATGTAATGTACATTTAATTAATAAATATTAAGGAATTAAGGAAGAAGCATGGTCTTGTTGTTTGGGTTGACAAAGTCAAACGTAGGAAACTTCGAAGAAAAGGGCAAAGCGTGGCGTATGCGGATTGGACATTCATTGCATGTGTCTTATTCTTCCAAAGTTGACTTTTTTTTTTTTTTTTTACCTTTTTTAATACCACGTGGATTGTCCATCTTATGATTACCATCTTACACAAACTATATTATTTTAAATAGTTATCCTAAATTGAAATATTTTATAAAATTTAGAGGTGTACATGGGTTGAGTTGAAACTTTTTCTAGATCGATCTGAAATTTTAGATTAGTTGGATTGATGACTCGAGCAATCTGAATAGAGTTCACAACCCTTTATTGCAAGAGTTAGAATTGAATATGTGAATAGTAGATGAGCAGTTTGGATAACGAAAGGTTATGGGTCAATAATATTAGCATTTTGGATTGGATTGGTGACCTGACTTGATTTAAACAGCAGTAGATAGATAATTTGGATAGTAAGTAACAGCCCAACAATATTGATATTTTGGATTAGTTAGATTGATGACTAATTCAAGTAGAGTTTACCGCCCTTCGTGGCAAGGCTTGAATTGAATCACTTAATCATCAGAGTCACAACTGCTATAGATAGACATTTTGAATGGTAAAGGTATGACCCAATAATATTAGCATTTTAGATTAGTTGGGTTGATGACCCGTGCAATTTAAATAGGGTTTACAGCCAGCCCTACGAGCCAGTTTAGATAGCAAAGGTTATGGGCCTATCATTGGGCCTTCTCGAAGTTGCATGGGTTGGATTAAATTGTCACCAAATATCATACGCCTCAATTTGGAAGACATTATTGGAGTGATTGATTGTTGGAATTATCAAATAATACAATGAAGATGAGAAGTCACGTCATGGGTATTTTAATTTTTTTTGTAATGTCCCATATA